TCAGTTAAACAAATTTTGGGCAATTGAAGAAGTCAGGGAAATTAAGAGGAAATCAGACGAACAAATCGATTGCGAAGCGAACTTCGAAAGGACGGTGACTCGCGACGCCGACGGGTGTTACAAGGTTCGCTTACCGTTTCGCAAATCAAACACGCGACTAGGGGAATCGCGTTCCATCACGCTTAAACGTCTATTGTCGTCGGAGCGTAAACTCAATTCAAACACAGCGTTAAGAAACGAGTAACACGACTAAGGTTCGAGTGGTGTTCGACGCGTCGGCGAAGACGAATAACGGAATGTCCTTGAACGACGCGTTAATGGTAGGACCTACAATTCAAGACACGTTGTTCTCGCATTTAATTCGATTCCGCACATATAATTATGTCATCACGACAGACATCGAAAGGATGTATCGCCAGGTGTTATTGCACGAGGATGATCGCCGTTATCAGAGATTCCTCCGGTGCGTGGATGGTAGAGTTAAAACGTTTCAGCTTAACACGCTTACATTCGGTGTTTCGCCTTATTCCTTCCTCGCGATTCGAGTTTTACAGAAACTTGCGGAGGACGAACGTCATACGTATCCTCGATCGGCCGAGATTCTTACCACACATCTTTATGTAGATAATTTGTTATCCGGCGCTGAAACGATTGTGGAGGCGCGGGCCGTCCGTAACGAAATAATCGTGTTACTGAAACGGGTGGTTTCTCCAGAAGGCAACGGGCATCCAACGACGAGCGCGTTATTAACGATTTAGCCTCCAATGCGTTGCGTACCGATCTCGTGTTAAACGTGGATCGTTCCGTAAAGACGTTAGGTATAACACGGAATACGCGAGACGATCAAATGCATTATGCGGTGCGTCCGATCGAAATTACTCAAAGATTGACAAAACGAAACATATTATCGGAAATTGCAAAGATTTGACCCAATAGGATTACTCGGTCCGATTATTCTATACGCTAAAGTGCTGATGCAAGACATATGGCGTTCCGGTTTACAATGGGACGAATCTGTCCCACAAGACGTATATACGGAGTGGAAGGAATTTGTTCGACAATTAGAATCAATAAATCGCTTTACTTTGAACGTAAATTGCTAATAAGTGACTATCGCGACGTTCAAATACACGGGTTCTGTGATGCCAGTAGTATCGGCTACGGTGCATGCTTGTATGTTCGATCTAACAGGAAAAATGAGACTGCGATTGTCAGATTGGCATGCGCCAAATCCAGAGTGGCACCGTTAAAACCTA